CCTTGTCGAGGATCGTGCAGCAGAATTGATCCTTGTAGAAGCTGAGGCTGACGCCAATGATTGTGAACACGATGCAAAATGCATGTCAGATTCAGAGTCGGCCAGTGATCATGACAGTGTTTTTTCTGAAGATTTTGATGAGTTTAGTGACGATGAAAGAAATGATGATGACCTCTTTGAGGCTGCAGATAATATATCTGATTAATTAGTAAATAAAGGTTTTGCAATTGCAAGCTTGTATTATCCGTTTAGTCTTTGTTTGTTAAATATCAGGGCCTACAGTTAGCTAGAAGGACCTACAGTTTCAATTTGACATAGGTCCTTCGGGCATTTTATGATTTTCAGTTAATTTCGAACACTGCCACCAACCCACCTAGACTGACATGGTGGCACGAGAGATTGGAGCAGTAGTCAGAGGGAGACACTCACACCTCCATATCAGATTACAAAATCAACCACCTTAGAGCGAATCATTATGAGAACACACTGTTGCTAGGCAACATAAACGCTGCCTAAAAATTGATGAGAAACGTATACATGCATGACATAATGTACACAAGTATTTGCTTTGCAAATAAAGAAGGCAACAGTCATATACTGTAAAACATGTTGAAAAAGCGACATGCAATTTTAGCGAATTGTGGTAAAATGAAGTAATAGCAAATGTTGATTTAGCGAATCACTCTTGTCATTGTTGATTTCCTGTTTTCACAATACTTGTCTGTCGCGTGCCAAAACAAATCATCTCCATAAAAACAAACAAAAACTTTCAAGTGTAATTAGGAAGCGCCCCAGATTTTTATGTTCCGGATTACTGTATACAAATCCCTAAGCCTTGGCCATTTTGAATTTATAATAAAGTCATTAGCGACATCTTGAATTAGCGAATCAGTTCTCTCGCTAAATTCGCTAAAAAGACATGCTCGCGAAAAAGACATGTTTAACAGTATATTAGTACCTAGACATTTACAGAACATTCATCAAAATTATGAGCCACCTAGTTTCCTGATATATCTTAAATAAAACTGAAGTCCAGTATGAAGACTACACGCACATCTGCTTACCTGATCTGAATACGGCTCACTTGTAAGATCAATCTGGTCATCGTCAAGTTTCCTGTCGACCAGCGTGGGTAATGGCATGGCCTGTGGTCGAGGCAACCTGTGGCTTATCGGAGGGCTATCCAGTACAATACACTGATTTGTCCGCGAAGACGATGTTGATGAGGAATGATCCATCTTTGAAGACACACTTGGAGATTGTTTATGCTTAGGTTTAGGTTTAGCTGCCACAGGAGGTGGTTTCACTTTAACAGCTTTTTTGCTGGAGTCACAATCTCCATTTTCTGTTATATTTGTAGTCCTTGACAACACAGGGCTCTGGTGCATGGCATCCTCAGATTTGGTCTGCTGCAACATGCCATTGTGATTGTCATCTGTGTTGGTGTTCTCACCAACATTGTTATTCCTAGGAAAAGTTTTAGGGTGTTTAGGCATGGCTTTCGGACTACCTCGTCCTCCCATGGTGGCAGCTTTTCTGCCTGTACGAGGGCTGAGTTCAGAAGCCGATTTTTCATACAGGTTCACAAGTTCATGGAACGAAGGGCTAGGGGCAACCTCCTCCCCTCTGGAAGTTGGTTCCCCATTTGTGCAGTTATTTGGACTTTGCAGCCCATTTTGTCTGGATTCTGAAACTGATCCGGCAGTCGATGGTATTACTTCCTCATCTTTTTGAGAGACTGTCTCCACATGATGTCCATTTTTAATACATATTTCTGGTCTGGAGTTTGTTTCATTTTTTCCCACTGTGACATTGACCTTTGACCCCTCACCGTTTGAATTCTCATCACTACATTGACTGAACACCTCTATGTTTACATAGTCATGGTTTTTCTTAATTTCCACGTTAACATATCCACACCTTGTAGGACTTTCCAGGACTTCCCTAGATGTGGTCACCTGTACACTAACACTATCAAATGATTGGTCTGATTGGTTAGGCACTTGGTCAGGTGATTCATTAATCAACTGGCCATCTTGCCAAAACTCCTCCTGATCGTCTTTTTTGGCAGATTGCCCACTTCTGGGACTCTCCCGGGTCAACAAGTTTTCACTGCTGGCATAGCAACCAGAATCTCTGGGGGAGGAAGTCAGCTGAGCTAAAACCTCTGTTGATAACAACTCATTACGTTTTTCATAATCTGGTTCCGTTTGTGTTTCCTCGGTTTGCATGATGTCATCAGCGACAACAGTGTCATCATCTATTAATACAATAGCAAACAAAAACAAAGATGAAAAATTTGTGATAAATATCATCAAAGGTTTGATTTCTTAAGCCGACTGCTCACACTATAGTTGTATCCAAGTTCATCTGCTCTGCTTTTCCAAACACATGGTATTATGTTTTGGAGAATAACACAAAAATACTTGTTAACAAAAAACAAAACAATGATTAAACAATGACTCATGGATGATAGTCAGTAACCATGAGAAGGTTTGATCACAGATTTAGAAAGCCATGAAAACGAAGAATGCAAATAATGTCAAACAATAAGTCATAATTCTGCCCAACATTTCAGACGTTTTTCCATTTTTTTGTAAATTTTGGATAGACTTAATTCCAACATGTTTTGATAAAATCTATTCAAACAATTAAAAAAAAAAAAAAATATGCAAATTTATTCTGGGCAAGGCGACAAAATTTGACGATTGATGTGATCCTTACCATCATACTGTAAAAGTTCAGCTGCAGTCAGTAGTTTAATCCTGTGTTCTGTGTTGGTTATCTTCAGTGCATCCAAGTCTTCATCTTCTACTTCTTTAAACAGGTCTAATGTCTCGTATCCGTTCAACATAAACACAGAGATGTATTCCTGTTGAATGAACAAACATAAACAACAATTTCAAAATTTTTTTTATTATCGAACAAATTTGGTAACTGTTTCTTTTATAAAAGTTCTAAGGCAATTTTGGACCGAAAGACACATTATTATTACACGTATGATATTTGACTAGAAATATTTGATTAAAGTGGGAGGGTCATCACCTGTGCACACGCGGGAATCGAGTCCCAAGCAACGATAACAACCACGCTAAAAATGCAAAGGCTCATTGGTAGACGATTGTTTGTAAACAATGACACGCTATGGCCATCTAACGCGTGCGCAGGTGACGACTCCCCCGCCTTAAATATTGCATAGTGTACCTGGAAGCTATGAAACATGTACTCGTGTGAAGTTCTATGCAACGAATTGATCTTGAAAAAATGTTTAAAGTTGATACATTCCTCATGTGAAATGTTTAATTGTACCGGTAATTATTGTCGGTTATTATTCCTGTGAAATTAGAAATGTTGCATGATTTTTCATTATCAAATTTTACTAAACACAATGTTATGCATGTTCAGGGCCTACTGAACGAAATGTTATGCATGTTAAGGGCCTATGGACTGCATATCATCCAATAGAGCACAGCAATGGTGTCATGTTATAACCAAATAAGGACAATGATAAGCTTCTCCTTAAAAGTTGCACCTCAAGATTATTATTTGATATATGTAGTGGTTGGAGTACACGCAAATTGTGGAAAATATATTAGATATGCCGGACAGATCTAATCATGCTTTATATTGGAAGAGTGTAAGAAAATGAAATTTAAATGATAAGATGCAACAAACACCAATACTGTGCTGAAATTCATTGAAAACTGGATGATGTAATGCACAAATTTAGACAATCAAATGTTACATATAATAATCCCCAAACCTCAATAAAATAAAATTAGATTGATTTTAGATTTCAACTTTAAAGCGCGGTGGTCGTCACTCAGCGCGTGTTTGAATTTCATGTAAATAAACAATGTATTTTACACACGTTGTATACGTTGCTATGAGTCCCATATCGAACAGGGCGTGGCACGATGACTGTCGCCTTTTAAAATCAGTAATAATTGTCCATTTTGTCCCTACCTCCAGATTTATTCTTTTCAGTAGTCCCTCCACGCTATTGGTCTTGGGGAGTCTTTTTGACGGTCGTCGTCTGATTCTAGGTCTCCGAGATTTCTTTTTTGTTCTTCTTCCTCATTGATCATGTCAACGTAAATGAACTTGAACGTTCCCACTCGGTTATTTAACATACCCATCCACGTCCCCATTGGTGGCATATTAATCACATCAATGATGTCACCTTTCTAGTGAAACAAATAAT